TATAGTAAAAATTGTGACTCTAGGGTTAACTAGGGTATACTAAAAATAGATATATTATAAATATACTATATTTTACTATACTAGTTATGAGGTCGTTACTTATTGTCCCAATATTTTATAGTCTAATTCTCGTAAGAATTCGGGAAACGTCATCCTAACGAGATCTTAGATAGGGTTAGACCTACATTATAGTTAAATTATAGTTTAATAATAAACTATACTAATATTTAATGACCCTACCATCTAGATATGGTCATATCATAGTTTATGTACGGTATTAAAACTGATAATAGACCAGACATTTTTGAAAGTAGTGAAGAAACGGAAATAGACGAAAACAATGCTACGCTTAAGGATTTAAATATGTTGTTTTCTGACATTATAGAATTATCTAATAAAGCTGATATACTTTCACATGGTGTTAGTATGTCTTTTGGAGAAAAGCCATTGTATACTCTTAATAAGACTATTATTACTCATTTAGATATTATTAATGAATTGAAAAATGACATTAAAAAGATGGAAAAGAAAAACAGATTAATTATAAGTAAATTAAGAAGTGAAGAGAGTAAAGAAAAAGAATTAGAGAAGAGAGTGAAAGAAGAGACAAAACCAAAGAGAAGAAAGACCGAATTATTATAATTCAATTAATTGAATTAATTTATTTAATTGTTTTCTTTTTAGAAAATGTTATTTATTTTTTGTTATTTTTTTCTAAAAATAAACAAATTTGTTATTTAAACGCATAATTAGAAAAAGCATTCAATTAAAGTGCTCAATATCTGGTTCATAATAACCAGTACGTATGAGAGTTAAAAGATGAACCAATGGTTTAGAATCAAGCAAATTAGATTCCACGTCTTTTATTAAGAAATCAAGCCACATCATTAAATATTTAGTCCGAAATAAATTATATTCATGGTCCCAGATACGGAACCAGTAGACAAGACCATACAAGACTATTTCAGCTGTCTCGTCAATAGCCCTAGAGAGTTGTTCTCGTACTTCCTTAGCTGTGGCTTGAATAAGAACTGAGAGCTTGAACTTTGGTTGTGTATATTGCATTGAATGCCTATAACATTATTAGCTGCGTTTAAATAACAAATTAATGGCTGATATGAGGTAGGATATGAGGTAGTAGATAACTTTAAACTATAATTAATAATAAAAATATAATAAGATAAAAATAGAAATTGTCTGTTTTGTCTCTTTGTCTGTCATAATTGTCTGTCTGTCTGTTTGAATGCCTACCACATCTAGATATTTAAACGGATAAGTAAAAGCAGATAACAACATGGAAATCGAAGATAAAATAATCAGCACGAAATTGAACAAAGTCAAAGTGAACGATTTGAATGAATTTTTCGCAGATATGTTCACGTTAAAAGATATTTGCGACGACTTCGTTGAATTGTTCAAAAAAGAAGAAAGATACTATTTGAACGAAGAAAAATACAACGAGCTGCTAGAAGAAGAAACCATAACACTCGATAGTATACATCAGCTGACAAATGAAATAAAAGAAAACTACCAAGATATAATAGATGCGTTTTATGAAAGAAGACTCCATAGAATGGAAGCAAGAGCAATGAAAGCTTTCAAAGAGATCGAAAAGAAACCAAGACAGCCAAAAGAAGAAGATGATTAAAGTTAATTAAATTCTTTTTTTAATATTTTGTTTAATTAAAATTAAATGAAATAAAAAATAAATAATAAATTAATCTTCAAAATCATTAACGAAATTGAAGTTTTCCAATAATTCCAATAAACCTCCAAGTTTATTAAAACGTTCGTCTTTTCTGCAAGAATCGACGAAACCTGTAATGTAAAAGAAGAGAATATCACTATAATTATAGTGAGTCTCCTCGAACCTCCTCATAAAATACATGATAGAATAGATAAGACATTTTGAGTCTAAATCTATAGTATCATTGTCGAGGAGACCTTTACAGGTTTCGTCGATATCTTGCACGATACTTGAAAGAAGAGGGAACATGAAATGAATTAAAAAGTGCAAACTATAAATAACAGGTAAAACGTGTACTCCACAGATAAACAGACAATTCTAAAATTAAAATACTATAAAAATATTATAATTATAGTAAAACAGACACTTAATATCCTCATACAGTCATTTAACAGCCTCATACAGACAAATTAGAAAATTCCTACTATTATAAATAGAAAACTATTATAAACAAAACATAAAGAATTGATGTCACAACCTCAACAAAAATATTACGAATTCAAATCTATGCATGGCTATGTGACAATAAACTTAAAAGATAACAATAAACCACCATCAAAAGAAACAATAAAAAATATAATCGAACAGTGGTGTTCAACACGAAACAAAAAAGCGCAAATAAAATACATGGCACTGAGTAAAACGACCAAAGGACCAAACAAACACATACATGCATTCTTTGAACTTGAAGAAGTAAGTCATGTAAGAAAAAGACCCTTTGTTCAACTAAATAATGAACAGCATTTCATGAAATTTGAAAAGGTAACCGAAAATAAGAATTACGATGGAAGCTTCAGACCAATTATTGAATACTTAAAGAAGCAAGGAGAGCGCCATCCAGAGAGTGAAGCTGTATTTGAAGAGATGGGGAAATTAGAAAGAAATAGAGGAAGACTCGGAGATATAGATATCGGTAAAGCTCTCAAGATGCCAGACTTGGAAGAAGCTCACGCCTATTTGAAGAATATTAGTCTAAAAGGTTACATGAACAATGTAGCCAAATTCGATACTATGTGGGCACAAGAGCACAGCGGAGATAATACAAATAGAATAAAAATAAAACTCCAGCCGTGGAAAGAAGACAACCCCGTAGTTAAAAACAGCAGAATTTGGCTCAGCTCGGCTTTAAGTGGAAGAACAAAAAGAGTCAAAACATTAGTCATAGTAAGTGACACCAAGATGGGGAAGACTGAATTCGTAAATGATTTATTAAAGAATTTAAAAGTAGACGAATTCAGAGGAAGATTCATGATGGATGGCCACAACGAAAGCTTAAAGTATGATATACGTCTATTCGACGATGCTAATTTAAACGATATCATATGGCCAGAATTTAAATCGTTAATTAGTACCAGAGGAGAACAGATTACAATTAATGTGAAATATTCACACGCAAGAGTAACCTCTATTCCAACAATACTCGTACTTAATCCAGGAAGTTGGAAAGCACTCCAACAAACAGCAAAAGAGTATGAAGATTTCGATTGGCTAGAAAAGAATTCCGTCGTACTATTTACTAAAGAGAAATTATTCAAAGAACCTCCACCTAAACCACAAATAGAACAAGATAAGAGTAAATATGCTGGTCTAGATCCTAAATTAGTAGAAATGCTATTAGAAAACGAAATAGAAGAAGATGTAGAATTAGATGATATGGGAGATGACACTATAGATGATTTAGATGATGCAATATACCAACTAGAACAAGAGAGTCTACCTCCTCCTATAGTATTAGAACAACCATTAATAGAAGAAGTACCATCAAAAAGAGTAGCTGTAGATGATCACGAAATACAAAAGAGATTTTTCGACTTAACAAAGAATACAATAACAGAAGAAGGAAATGATAAATATATAACAGTTCAAAGTGGAAAGAAAATAAGAATAGCTGATGAAGATAGTGAAGAAGAAGAAAGTGAAGATGATCCAGATGCTTTAGCAAACAATTGGAATACAGGTAATTTTTAATTAACTGTTTTTTATAATTCATCTTTTATTTTTTATTCAACATGAGCTATTGGCATAGACCTAATGTATTTAGAAGACGTTGGGGTAGTTACGGAAGTATAAAAAATAATTGGTATTCCAATAACTACTCCTTAAATTCAATAAATGATAATTATGATCCTGATGCAGGAGATGAAGATTATACAGAAGAAGATGATGTAGATTTACATCCTAATATATATACAGAAAATAGTTATTTTGATCCAGACAATGAACCAGAACGAGCAAATAAACCAGACATAATAGACGAAGAATACAATAAAACAGAAGAATCTCTTTTTGATGATCCAGATTATGAAGAATATAATAACGAATTTGGAAATATTGAACAACCAAACGATGAAGAAGAACAAACTATAGAAAATGAAGAAGAAGATACTCAAGAAGAAATTGAACCAACATATGAAATAGTTAATCCAAATAACCCAGAACAAGTCTATACTTACGATGACAATACAATTAAAATACTTGATGGTATTATCGACATTAACAACGATCAAGAACTAATTAACGTACTCAATCAAGTAGACCAAGACATTAAAAACAATAATAGAATAATAGAAAACGATAATTCAGAAGAGCTTATAAATGACATTCCTATAGTAATTACAAATGAAGAAGATAAGGTAATACTAGCAGACAATATACAAGAAGAAAGAATACCATCAATACTAGAACAATTAAAAGAACAACCATTACAAGAAGAAATAGAAATACATAAAGATGTTAAAGATCCTGATAACTTTATAATACCACCAAAACAATACAAAGAAATAAAACCAATGGATGATGATGAAGAAGATGAAAAGAATAGAAAAAGATTTAGAAAGTTAGATGACTTCTTTAATGATAATTATAAGAAAAGAGGAGATGATAGTTCTTCGGATAGTGAAGATAATAGAGAAGATGGAAAAGGTAAAGTTAAATATCAAGCAAAAAGACCATTTGAAGAAAAATTAACATCAACATTCTTTAATCCACCTAGAATTAATAACTTACCACCTCAACAACCAATACAAGAGATTGTACCATATCAACAAATAATAATTAAACCAGAACAGAAAAAGAAAAAGAAGTCTCCCAAGAAAATACAAAATAATGATGACGTCAACGGTAATAAACCAGACGACGATTCTAAAGGTATAAAGATTAAATTGAACGAATTAGAAGAAAGAGAATTAGTATTAAAAGAAGCTAAACCTGTACCAGACTTTATACCTTTAGAATCCGTCGATATACCAAATGAAGTAGAAAATGAAGAACCAATACTAGAAGATGATGGACAAGAATTAGAATGGTATGATGACCATATGCCAGAAGAAATAAAATTAGATCCTGTACCAGAAGATGCTAAATATTGGCAGAACTTTAAACATAATTCAGAAAAGAAGAAAATAAATTATCCAATTCAATTAGTTGATGATAGAACACAAGGTAATTTAGAAAGACAAGCTAAAGAATCAAGAAAACTCCAACGAAAAACAAGAAAACAAGAAAAGATCAAAAAGATGAAAGATCCTATAAATAAAATAACAGAAGTAAATAATTTCGTTAATAAGAAAATTAAGAAGTACTTAAAACGCCATCCTCTATTAATAGAAGAAGAGATTCCCGAAGAACTTATCGAACGATGGCAAGAAGAAGCACTTCACGATTACAATTATAGATTACTAATGTTAGAATCAGAAGTTATAATTGTACAACAACCACCTACTACAAAAAGAAAAGAACCAATCGAAGAAAAAGAACAAAAAGAAGAGAAACCAGAAATAGAAAAAGAAGAAAACGATTATCCGTTAAATCTAATTATAGAAGAAGATAGTGAAGCAGAAATACCTGTAGAACCAGTAGAACCATTAGAAGATCCTCAGTTCGACTTTGCCACATCAACAGTTGGCGGCGAAGAGAAAATTAGAACTAGATAATTGAGTATTTAAAGAACCCTTTTAATCTGTTTAATCATACCATGACTACAAGCATCAGAGACATCATAGCCGACTTTGCACTCGGAAAATACAAAGAGATGTGCAATGATGAATTAATAGACACAATAAACAGATTAATGTATATAATAGACGATGACACAACAACAGAAGAGAAATTAGCTCTAAAGAAACCATACTGGAGCTTGGTATATAGAATAGCTAACAAAAAAGGATTGATGTGGGAATTGCCAAAGAAAAAGAAAGAAGAGAAAGAACAAAAAGAAGAAAAGAAACCATACAAGAATAGATTCATTATAAAAGATAAAAAGGCTGAAGAGACAAAACCCAAAAAAGAAGATAATTAATTAATTTAAATTGTAAACATGATTTTCGTTCGGTTTATTTTCAACAAAAACTTTACGTCCATCAGGTCGTGTATAAACCTTAAAAGTATCAGGATCAGTTGGACTGACTTTTAATAAAACACTACCCCATTCATCTTCATTTTCAGAAGTACCAAGTCCTTTAAGATAATTAAATCCACTGCGATTAGGATCATCAGGATAAACCAATCTATCACCACCATCACGATTCCACATATAATGATTTCTCATGTATTCAATAAGATTACTCTTCTTCTCAAAGTCACTAGCTTCAAACCATCTACGACCACCTCCAATACGCTGATGAGTACGCATACCATAATTAATTTTATGATAATAATCATCATTACTACCAGTACTTAACTCTCTAGGAAGTTGAAGTTGTAATAACTTAGCATAACGATAAGCAGCAGCATGATCAATACTTAAATCTGCTCTAATATGACGCCTCAATTCATCAGGGAGTTGTTCATAAATAAAAGTAAGACGTCGAGCATTATATTCTTGAAGATCATCAGGAAGTAAATCACCTAGAGAATCAGGGAACAATTCAAATTCATTACCATTCTTCAAAAGCTGATTTTGATATTTAGGATCAATAACAATACCTTCACTTTCAGCAACATAATGTTCAGGTGCATAATATCGTTCACCATCTTTCTGAAGAACTCTAGCAGGAACAAAATGTAATTCATCACCTATAACAGTAGGAAGAGGAATACTACCATAATCACGATCATCTTCATACAACTTACCCAACTCTTGTTCAGTAAAAATAACATGAACATAATCCTTAACCAGAGAAGGATCATCAAGTAACATTTGTTTAATAGCATCTAAATCTTCATTTTTAACATCTTTTCCTTTAATACACTTATCACGCATATATTTAATATTATCTTGTGTAGTATTCTTTCTAGTAGGAACATTATCACGATTTAAACGATCCTTAACACCTTTATACAAATCTTTTCCTCCTTCACCAGCAGCAGCAGTAAGAGCAGTTCCTAACAAACTACCACCAACTTTAATACCTTTATCAAACATAGTCCTAATTAAAGAAGCATCCAATTTAGCTGCAGGATTATTCTTAATAACATTTTTCAAATCTTTAGGGAAACGTTCAGAAATATCCTTAACACGATCACCAATAGTATCCTTAACATCTTTCCACCAACTATCCTTCTCCTTACTAGAACCTCCCTTATCAAACAAACTATCTGTTCTATCTTCTATCTTCTTTATTTCTTTATCAACAATCTTACCTAAATCTGGATCATACTTATCATCAATCTTAGATGGTTTCTGTGTAGGATTATTATTAGGATTAGTAGGTCTTCTTTGCTCAGGTCGAGTAGGCTGTCTAGGCTTCTTTTGATCAACAGGTTGTCGATTTGGATTAGTAGGTTTTCTATCTTGTACAGGTCGTTTATTTTCAGGACGATTACCAGGTTTATCCTTTTGAGAAGGTCTTCTATCTTGAGTGGGTCTCTTATTAGTAGGACGCTGAGGTCTATTACTATCAGGCCTTCTAGGTTTAGTCTCTTCATGCCTCTTATCATAATCTCTGTTATACCTTTTATCAAATTCATTCCTCTTATCACTTGGACTTCTATCATATACACGTTGATAAGTATATGGCTTCTTATTAACAAATTTATAATTACCATACCAACCACGAATAGAACCATAACTACCATACCGTTTCTTATGTAAATTTAAACGTGGAACACCGTATAAGTCAAAAAACATTAAATTATTAAGTTACTAAGTATTGAGTTTAAACATCAAATCCCATGATATTGACAAGATCCTGGACAACAACATAAACGTGAAACAGAACCATCATCTCGAATACAACCATGCATGCAACAACATAAAACAAGTAAAGTAAAAAGAATGAACATAAGGAGTACATCATGTAAACAACTCATAATTAAAATATAAAGATTAAGATACAAATAAATTAATTAGGAATTAATACTTTTACTACATCTAATACTTCTTCTATACCATCCATAACTTGGTTTTGTCTTCTACTTTCAATAAAAGCAAAAAAGCATGAAGCAATAAGCAATACACACGAAAGTACTAACATAACAACTTTCCTAATTACATTCCATGTACTATCTTTAAACACTTTTTCAACACAAGACTCAGAGTGATGACAATCACTGCTTTCTGTTGACATATTATGAATTTTTAAGTTCATCTTTATATTCAAATGATACATACACGTAATAATTGTCCTGAAAATACTCATCAAGTAGAATTTTCATTTAATGTTAAAAAAAGAGTATTAATAAAAGAAAATAAAAGGTTTGGAATAGATACAACTCATATATTTTATGATTTATTCAAAAACACAAATTTTAATTCCTTCTGTAAATGTTTTAAAAGAGTAAAAATAGATAAAGCATTAGCAGTATTATCCATATCTGATATTAAAATGAAAGAAATAGGACTTAACTTTCCAACTGTATCAGTTTCATGGTTCCCTACATATATAAAAACAGAAAATGAAACAACAACACCCGAAGCTCAATTAAAAATGATTCAAAATAGTAGTCATATACAACAACAAATATATTACCCCGGTGGAGCATTTCAAATAACAACAATTATTAAAGCACAAACTATTCAAGAACAAAACTTTTATGGACCAACAAGAGTAGAAGGTTTTTGGACTTACGATGAAAATTATCCTTTTTGGAATCCTTATACAAATGAAAACGTAACTATCCCATTTTATCCTTGGTATATTATAGCAGTAGAAACAACAAATAAAACAAAAATAGGAGAAGAAAATCAATTAATAGATTTCAATCTCCAATGGTATATAACATGCTCCTTTGATAGATATATCTGCACTCCAACAGAAGATGAAGATATTGAACCTAATCCAGACATAACACTAGTAGATTTAAACTATACAATTACAAACGATGACATTAATAATAGAGAAGACATAACATTAGAACCAAATATACATGAAGCTTATGAAAAAGTAACTTTAAAATTTCAACCAAAACAAAAACAAGTAATAACACTTCAGATAACAAATAAAACTTTAAATTAATCTTTATTATTCATTTAAATGTCTTTAGTTTCTAATACAACTCTAACATTATTAAGAAAGGAAGACACTATAAACAACACTACATACAATCTTCATATGACAATAGATAATCCAACTATAACAACAACTAACAATGGAACCATTCAACTAACAAGTGATAACTATATTAATAATATAACATTAAAAACTAATGTAAAACCATCAAGTCAAACTAAAACAGTAACAATTACTGAAAATACAACAACAACCATTACACCAGATAATAATATACCTTACTTAGATTCAGTAATAGTAACTACAAATGTACAACCAATAGGAGCTTTAGTAACTAGAACATTCACAGAAAGTGGATTCTATGAAATAAAAAGACCACAAGACTATTACATGAGTCAAGTAAACGTAACAATAAATATACCTCAAATAAATGGAATAAATTACTCATTAGATGACTCATCAACTTACGATCTAACACCACAAGGAATGACAATAAACGAAATACAAAATACAACACAAGATACAACCATATTCCCAACAGATTTAACATACACAAACAATGTAGCACTACTAAAACCACTAGGAACATACACAATAAGAATTGACACAACGGGAGCAGGAGATATAACAATAATAAAACATAAAGATGGAGGATTACAAATAGAAGAAGGAGCTGATGGAAAAACTTACGGTTTTTATCCAGAAAAAAGCTACTTTTATTTAATTAAAAATGCAGATACTATAAGACTCATGGATCAAAACAATACTCATATGTTCTCAACTACAATGAAAGCATATTCAGATACAATGGACAGTCTCTTCATAACAGACTCTTTATTATTAACAACATTTAAAACAACCTTTTTCCCAACTTACTAAAAATTAATTAAATTATTATTACTATTTTAGTTTAATAATTCTCTAATAATGCTTGTCCATCATTACTATTAACTCCAGTAACAAAGCTTTGTAATGCCTTAACAACTGGATAAGCAACAGAAGCTTGATAAGTACCACTAACAGTTAAAACACTACCAGCAGCAACATCAACAGCAGCATCAGCTCCGGTAGCAGTATTTGCATACATAATAGCAGGTGACTTAGTAGTAGTACTTCCTACAGTAGTTAACAAATCAGTAGTAACAACAGATTCAGCTGTACCGCCACTTTGATTAGGAAGATTCACTCCATAAACAATAAATGGTTCAGAATAAACAACAAGAGTACTTTGATCAGTTGCAACATTAATAGCATGTTGAGCATCATTACCATTACCACAAACAAATATACTGAAATTATAACCAGTAACACCATTACCCATTGTCATAGCAGTTCCAAATGCAATCATAACACAAGACAACTGAGTAGTAGAACCAGCTGGAATATTAATAGCAGTAGCAGCAGTACTTTGAGGAATAACATGAACATTATTAGTATCAAATAAAATAGCATCAACCTTACTAGCACCAATGGTATACATAATCTCATTCAAATACATCTTAAGTGCATCAACAGTCCATGAATTATTAGAAACAGAAGTAACTCCTCCTGTATTTTGCACTTGTGTAGTATAAACTGGATTACTAACTGTAACCACTCCAGCATTATTCTCAACAGTCATTGAAGCAGGAATCATAGTATTATTTGTTCCACTTGCAACAGTACCAGCATTAGTTCCAGCATAACCAAGTGAATTAGCATTAGGAATTGGAACAACATCAAGTGTACTCTTTCTTAATCCTCTAAGTGAAACAACCCATGACCATGTTAAATTAAATACAAGTGTTTGGCATGTAGCTGTTTGATTACCTAAAAGAACAGAAAGAAGGAAATCAGGATTCCATGCAGCATATAAAGTAGATTCAGTCAATACTTCAGCAGTCTTAACTGTTGGAAGATAAATACTCTTCTCTTGAAGTGATGAAGCAATAAGTCTTCTTGTAATACCCCATCTTGCACCTGGATAATATGCTCTACTTACTGCACTAGAATATGAACTCACTTGATATGGTCCAGGTACAATTGGTACATTGGTTATATTCTGTCCTCCTTCTGGATTGGTTACTACATTAGCAGTAGCTTTATCAATACCATTTCTATCCCATGCAGTAATAACATTAGGGAAAGTCATTGCAGCTTGACCAAATGTATTATATACAATTTCAGCTGATACTGAAACACCATCAATTTTAAATTGATCATACATTCCAGCATAATGTTGGAAGAATTCAGTACCACAAAGCAACTTAGTTACATTACGTACTGTAGTTGCTCCATTAGTATTAGCTGGAATAGCTAATTGTACAGTCTCAGTAGCATTTAATACTACTTGAGTACTGTCTCTTTGTTGGAAGGCAGCTTTTAAATTACCTGCCATACTAGATTTTAAATTACGTCTTGCACGAGGTGCAGTTGCTCTTCTTGCTCTTCGCATCATTTTAATAAATTATAGTTTCTTACTATTAAGTTCTTATATAGGCCGAAGGCCATTTGTTCTTAAGATCTTTCTAAACAGACCACAAGAGAACGGCATCCCCTTTAAGTCGTAAAGGGACCAAAACAGTCACCCAAAGTAGTGTAACGGATAAGGGTGAGTGTGTGTTCCTCTTTATGACTTAAATAGTGGGAGGAGTGATCATAAGGTCTCTAAGAAAAATTTATTACTTAATTAGTATAATACTATATACATCATTGATGTTCTATTTTTAGTATACCCTAGTTAACCCTAGAGTCACAATTTTTACTATATTACTTATTGTCACA